TGGCGTTGAAATCGCCGACGAGTACAATAATGTCGCCCGCCTGGCCATGCGTTGCGATGACACTCAAGATCCGGTTTGCCGTGTTGGCCTCCCCGCAGAGACCTCCCGTATTTGTGGGAAGCGGGCCATGATGATTCATGAAGAGCATTGTCGCCCCGCCTCGTATGTGACGCAAACGTAGCCACTGCACAGCACGCTGCCGCCAAAACAGCTCTTGCAAGTCTTCTGTGACATGCTCTTGTCCCTTGTCGAGTAAGGACCAGACCTCCGTTCTGAAGGCCAAGCACAGCTCCTCCATCCCCTGGTACATCGTATACAGCTCAGACAAGCCCGCCTCCTTCAAAACCCACGCACCATCTGGGCACTCCTGGAACGCCAGAACATCATACGGTGTCGCCTGCACAGCACCTGTGATCAGATTAATTGCACCATTTCCACCTGCCTGCTCGTAATGATGCATATAGCCCGGCCAGACATCGCCGTCAAAAACACTCGACCAATCGAGATTGAACGTCAGCGCCCCCACCTGCACTCCAGCTGCTTTGGCGTCGTGGCTCCACAACGCTGGGGCTGGCGCATCCTCGCAGGTGAAATCCACTGGGCGAGTTACTGCAAAATCAAACTGAGATTTTGTAAGTGGGCTAGGGGGTTGCTCTGGTTCGGTGCTGCCTCGCACCTGCACTGAAACGAAGCCATCCCTTTGAAAAGTATCACCAGTCAGGCCACCTTGCAACCAACACTGGTCTGAAACCCAGATGAAGCCCTTGCAAACATCGATGCTTGTACATTTTGCCTGGCAAGCTCCCTGGTCGGGGATGTTGTCCACAAGGGATGAATGCTCGTACGTATGAAGCTGACCAGGCGAATTTGCCTCTTCTTCTTTGACTTGCAAAGGTGGCGTCCTTATGCGCCAATGACTGTGCGGCTGGACATGTTGACCGAGTCTGCTTAGGAGGGTAGCGGCGGCAGCCAACAAAAGTAGCGCAGCCACTCCAGTGCGCCAGAAACCAAAACGCAAACACACCTCGCCTGCAGGACGCGCTGCAGGTCGTAACGCGGTATATTCAGCAAGGCCCCCCTGTAAACATTTTCTTGGCGCTGCAGCTTCGCCGTACACAGCACTCATTTTCGACTGAAAAGAGCAATCTTGCAAAATGACAAGCCACAACGACTCGAGCCAAAAGAAGAAAGGCGCTGAGGTTGGAAGCGATGGCTATCCGCCACCGTGTCGCTAAGCACGACGGTGAGGGCCTAGGATAAGGAATACTCTGGATAAGGAGACTAGGGTCCAAAGCCAGTGGGACGCCAATTGTTGCTTGGCCATGGTACTACCGCCGCCCTCATCGGAGGAGGAACCCTCAAGGGTCTGAGGCCTCCTGGGCACATTCCTTAACGAACGCCCCCACCGTAAGTGAAATGTCCTCAGGTCCTCTCGAGTCCCCTGGATTGAATCTTGCAAATGCTCTCTGGAGATCCGGGACCCCCGTGTTCTGGGCGCACCTGGGCGCTCTCGGGAAACCCCGCGGCTGTTCCAGATGCCTCGGAGCGTGGTTCGGAATCCAAAATCATGCCATCGCTCGGACGTCCATTCCATGCGCATGGTTCGTGAGCGTGCGTGCCTTTTTTGCTGAATGATCCAGATGATCCAGGATGCTCCTCGATGGTCCTCGTCGAGAAACAGTGTACACGACCGAGCGATGCCGAGCACTCCCAGCGTGCCCCAAGATGGCCCCAGGGTCCCGTCTTGGGCCTCTGCCCGGGGGTCCCTTGGGCAGTCTTGGAGGCCCTGCGGGCTGGCCCGAGATGCCCAACTCGTCGAAGTCCATGTGTTGCCTGGAATGTCCTCATGATTGTCGGCTCTTCGGTCTTCAGATCGTCCGAGGCGGCCCGAGAGGCGAGATGGCTCCGAGACGGCCCCCGAGCCCCCAGCAGGGGCCCAAGAGGCATCCAGGAGACCCCCAAGAGGAGCCCAAGACGGGCGCCTCGGTCTGACACTGGAAGCCTTCCACCCCAAACTGGCCCGGGGACCGCCAGCGGGCCTCCCAGGGGCGCCCAGGAGGCCCCGAAGAGGCCCCGAAGAGGCCCCAAGTCGGCCCAGAAAGGCCCCCAAGACGGCTCCCGACGGCGTCAGACGTGCTAGGAACCCACCAAGATGGCCGAAGTTGGCTCGAAGCTGGCCCAAGACGGCCCAAGAGGTCCCCAAGAGGCCCCCAGGAAGGCCACAAGAGGCCAAAAACATTGATTTTCCGTAGGTTTGAGAAGGATTTTGGCATTTGCTTGCCGAAAAGGCCCAAATCATTGATTTCCCATGGGTGTTTGAAGGATTGTGGCATTTGCTTTTTTTCGGCCTTCCGACGGCCCGAGACGGCCCAAGTGCCCCAAAAGATCGCCCAAGAGGCCCCAGACACGACTCCAAGAGGCCCCCAAGACGGCCCAAGAGGCCTCCAAGACGCTCAAGATGGCCTCCAAGACGGCCCAAGAGCCCTCCGAGACGTCCTCCAAGAATGCCCGAAAGGGTCAAAATGGCCCACAAGAGGCCAGCAAGAGGCTAAGACGCCCCCCAAACAGGCCTCAAGAGGCCTTGACAAGGCCTCTGGTCCACGACCGGACGGCCCGAGAGACCCTCCGAAGAGGCCAGACTCGACGTATCTTGGATGTTGCTGTACTGCACTTCGGTCCATGTAATATGTTGCTGGTTCGGCGTGTTCCCAGTCGCTGCTTCACGGAGGAGAAGCAGACGAGACATGTCAATACGCATCGAAACGCGACAACGCATACGAAGATGTATGGGGTGTTTCTGGGAGCGAGCGAAAGAAAGCGAGAGAGAGAGAGAGAGGAAAACACACAGTTGAGTAACGAGAGGGGATGGGCTGGGGAGAGCCGCCTGGCTAGTGATGCAGTGCGTTTTGGTCATGAGTCGGATGTGCGACTGAACGATAGTATTGTTAAAGGGGGGTTCGACGCAACATCGGGGGAAGAAAGAGTCCGTTCCAGTCCTCTGTTCACGGATGGAGAACAGACGTTTTGCGAAGCAATGTGATGTCGGTGTCACAGCTCCCCGACCACGTTACCCCGGGGCTTGCCGTATTGAAGCCCATCGACGAATCAAGATAAGGCTTACCGCCCTCAGGCTCTTGAGGCTTGTTGGCGGACGCTCATCTGCCTCCGGGAGGCTTCGATCTTGGACGTGGTTTCCTGCATCCGTGGTCATTGGCCCAGTGCAATGCACGTGGTATTGTGTTGGTTCAGCCTGCTTCCAGTCGCCGCATGAGAGAGAAAGAGAAGACAAACATGAATAGACCTGAAAACGCGGCAATACACACACACACGACGATGCAGAAACGGAAAAGAGAAAGAAGCCGACGACAACTACATATAGAGAGAGAGAGTAGGAATATGGCCCAGGTAAGCTGCCGAAAAGCTTCCATATTTCGAAGGATCACCCAAAGACACGTATGGTTGACTCCTGGGCCTGCTCAGACAGGCCCCAATCCAATCTTCGGACGGGCGACTGCCCACTCTCTTTGTTGCACTGCGTGCTCCCACGGCTCCCCGAACAGTGCATCTCGCCTGGGCATTGTTACTGGATGTGCTGGCTGGGATATGCGAAGCGGCACGACTTGACGAGCCATGTCTTGTGATGATTACGCAACAGCTGGTGCTTGCAGGGCCACGACAGCCGCGCGAGGGGGCGCGCGCATGTGGCCCGCATACGGGCGACTGTCTGACAGGGGAAGCTACATCACGCACGTCTGCAACCAACGCGCGTGCGCAGCAAGCGACCTGTGGCAGGAAATGGCGGGGTGGGGGGGGGGCACTGGCTTGGCTAGGACGACACAACTGATATATGGGGGGGGCGACCGTGCAGAATAATCATAACATCGTGCATGTCGCGCGGGCGGCAATGGGGGGTGACCTACATATGGGGGAAAAGAAAAGGGCCTTGATCAAGCCCTTTTCAGGGCCCTTTTTGGAACCAGCAAGGCCCCTCTTTTCACCCCCCATTACAGTCGCCACCCAGCACCACCCACCCGAGCACGCGGAGGGTAGCCGACAACCCCGGCCTCGGAGCGGGGGGCCGAGCCTGATGATTCCTGAGAACACGATCTCTTGAGAAGCCTCTCGGGGGGATCTTGGAAGCAGTTTGGAGGCCTCTTGGGGGCCGTCCTGGGGCCTTTTGTGGAGCTCCTGGGGGCCTCTCTGGGCCTCGCTTGGGGGCATCTTGGGGGCCTCCCGGGGACCTCTTGGACGCCCCTTGGGGCCTCCTGACGCCACAGCAGACCCGCGCGGGCGCCCACGGACGCCCACTGCGCGACGAGCCAGCAGACCCTGCCGGCGCACGAGGCGCACGCTGTTGTTGCGCCGACGGCGAGGCGGAGGCCATCCGCACCGGCGTGGGGACAGACATCAGGGCAGCCGGTCCGCAGAGTGTGCGGGCGCACGAGGCGCACACGAGGGGCCCGCGGGCGGGCCTAGCAGGGCCGGGGCGAACAACCGGCCGACCCACCCGGAGCTCGGACGCGCCCACGAGTTGTGAGAGGGATGAGCGAGCAAGGCAGCCAGTCAGCATATACCCACCCAGTGTGGACTGGCGCCTGCACAGGGCACTCGGCCGCAGGACACTCCACAGAGACGCGTGCGCCCTGAGGGCCACGCACAGAGAGGCAAGAGAAAAGGACAACTGCAGGTGTCCCCACCGGCCTGGCCTGAGACATCTTCCACGCGAGTCGCCAGCGCGCGCCCCACAGGGCGAGAACCCGACGGACTTACCCGCTTACTGCAGAAGGGGAAGTCAGGGCCTCGAGATGCGAGCAGCGTGGGAGGAATGTGATACGAAACAGGGGCAAGGACGTGGGGGGGAGTGCTCGCGCTGCGGAGTCCGGAAGGCAGAGGGCAGAGTAGGGAGTCGTGGGTGGGCGGGCGAGAGCGGGGAAGACAGTGTGGAGAGTATGGAGTGAAGAGTAAAGGTAGGAGAGTGTACATCAAATGCTAGAAGGCATGGGAAGACGTAAACATCAGGCGAAGAGTAGATGGTAGATCGTGGGGAGCAGAACGCGCAGAGTACTTCTTCAGCCATCGACCTCGCCCGCTGGCAGCACACTGTCTTCAGAACGTACGTCCGATCCACATCTTATGCGATCCCTGGTGTAACCGTCAGTCTGGCAGTGGCTAAGACAGGTGTTGTCCTGCAATGTTCTGCACACTCAGTACCCAGAAAATAACAGAAGCACACAGCACACACGAGTGCCATACTGCTAAGTGAAATTCCAACTTTTCACTGGCGAGAAAAAGAACGCCTGCGGCATACGTGGCCAGAGCAATCAGAACCCTCTGCATCACCTCTGGTGGGAAGCAGGTAGCGTACAAGGCTACGAGAGGCAATGCTGTCGCCCCCATCGAGATGTAAAGGATCCCATGGACGTAATCGAAACGCTTCCATATCCCAGTTCCTCCGCCACTCAATTGCAAATCTGGCCTGCGAAGTTTTACGCATTCCATGGCAAGCCCAATGCAAGATAGCGTGACAACGAACGACCACGCATAATAGCAACGCAATATGACCATCCAAGGAGTAAACGTGCCCACGATCATCGCATTTACACCGAAATGGTCCAAGGTTAACAGCACTGGTACACGATCCCACTGCCAAGACAAGTGGTGATAAAATGCCGAGCAATGAAACATGACAATGGAACAAAAGCCTTGCACTAAAAACCCAGTCTGTTTCAAGCACGGGTCCCCCTTTTGATGCGACGCGTACAGGAGCATGGGCAGCATAAACCAAGACAGCGCAGCTCCGAAGAAGTTCACGCAGTGGTCTGCACGAAGCTCTCGCCTCGAATATGATCGCCGTGGCGGCAAGTACCACTGCAGGCGCGCGCGCCCAGACCCTCCATCCCAAAGAGGTGGCGCTCCCGTAGGTGGTGTCGCTAGCAGCGTGTTGCACAATTCTGGTGAAGTCATGGAGGCAACGCAGGGCAAATGACAAGCTGAAGACCTGGGCCAGAGTGGCTACGGATTTGGGGTGAGGCTTCATGGGAGCCTCCGTGGACCTCCGCGACCCTGTCGTAAACGAGATGTCGATCGGATTTCGTGCAGAGGTCGACCAGATTTCGACGAGAATTCGTTTAGATTTCGACTTGGTTTCGTCCAAACGTCGTCTAATCGTCGACCAAACCCAACGAAATCCAGACGAAACCCACGACACCGCAAGGAATGTTGGGACCCCCTGAGGCTCCCATGATTGAGCCTCATCGTCAGCTTCCACTGTGTCGACCTACTGCTATGCTTCACGCTGGGAGCGTGAGCAGCCTGGCGGGACGCCCAACCCTGTGCGGACCCGTGCAGCGCAGAGCGTGGACTCCCGTACAGCGCAGGTCGGAGGCAGTGGAGCACGGGGGCAGCGCGGGCAGGGGGCACTGCTAGTTGGCGATATCCGAACCCTACCCCCACCAACCATTAATTCTTCTGAATCGCTTGGAGACGTTTCGCCGCGTGTTCGGCGAATTCCGAACCCTATCCCCGCCGCCCATTGAGTCACCTGAATCGCTGATCGGCGAGGGTATGGTTCGAATTGCACCGCAGACCTACAAAGCAAGCGCGCAGAGGCAAGCTGAGCTTCCCTCCCAGGAGTCGCGATCCGTGAGGGGTGTGCCGAAACGGGCTGGGACACGCAGGTGAAGACTCCCAGTGAGGCCGTATGCGTGCTGCCAGAGAGGTCGATCTACGGTCGGGGACTTTGAACTCAGCGTGTCGCGTCGGCGGCCCCCTCCACAAGCGGATAGCGTGTCGCTCCGCTCCGCGGGGCAGGATGATCGGAAAAGCTCGGGACGCTGATGCCTGGGGACGGGGGCCTCCTCCTCCTCCTCCTCCTCCTCCTCCTCCTCCTCCTCCTCCTCCTCCTCTCCTCCTCCTCCTCCTCCTCCTCCTCCTCCTCCCCCCCCCTCCTCCTCCTCCTCCTCCTCCTCCTCCTCCTCCTCTCCTCTCTCCTCCTCCTCCTCCTCGTGGATAGCGTGTCGCGCCGAGGCGCGGTGGGCCAGCATCGGCGGAGCCACGCGCTGCCCCAGTTCCTGACCGTGGGCCGGAGGCACGTCGGCGGCCCTCCAGGGTGCCGACCTGCAGCGGGAGGTTCCCCTTGCTGCTGCTCTGCGGGAGCAGGCGGGATGAGAAAGAGGACGAGAAGAAAGAGGAAGAGCTAGGAGGAGGAAGAGCTAGGAGGAGGACAAAGAGGAGGAGGAGGAGGAGGAGAAGGAAGGGGAGGAAGCGGAGGAGGAGGAGGAAGAGGCGGAGGAGGAGGAGGAGGAGGAGGAGGAGGAGGAGGAAAGGGAGGAGGCGGAGGAGGACCAGGAGGACGAGGAGGAGGAGGAGGACGATGAGGAGGAGGAGGAGAAAGGAACGAGAACGAAGACGAGGAGCTAGAACTACGCGTTCCACCGTGGACCCCTCGCCGCCCGTCGGCCCTCCGTGCGGCCGGCGGCGGTCCTCGGCGGTACTTTTGGCAGTCTCCGGTGCTCCCCAGGGGGGTCTTTCGCGTTGCCGAGCGAATGCCGGCGCTCTGCTGCGCAAGACCTGGAGCACTGCATTGGGGAGAAGGCACATGGCCAAACACCCAAGAGAGACGAGGAGGAGGCAGAACAGGGGGGGCAGAGGGAGAGCATCCTTCCTGGCCCCCCCCCCTACCTGCCACCACACCGAGGCGACCGTCAGGTCTGCACCGACCTCAGGACATCGTCCAAGGCCGCGAGGCCGGCGACCAGCTCCAGCCTGGCCTCCTCGTAATCCGCCAGCCCCAGAGGGGGAGGGAGAAGGCCCTCGAACGGTTTGTGGTACTTCTGTTGGCCTACTGCGGGTTCGCCCCCGCTGGAGTCACCTCGACTCTCCCGTCGGAGCGCGCCCCAGGACTGCCCACAGAGGCCCCAAGATACTCTCAACAGGCCGAAAGATGGCCCAGCAAAGACCCAAGAGTGCTCCTGGACCTAGATGTCCCCGACACTGCCCCAGGGTAGGTCGCTCTGGGGGAGCCAGCGGCAGCGGGCGATGCCCGTCTGATAGACGGGCCTGCAGTCGCCACCCTTGCACTTCTTGGAGCCTCGCATGCCGCCGTCATTCACGAAGAAGATGGAGTACGCGATCTCATCCGCCTTGGCCAGGTGGCCCGTTGCGATGTCCGCCAACTCGAGCAGCTCCGTGTTGCTGGTCTCGGCCGCGACTGCCTTGTATGCGGCGTCGAGCGCGCCGGGCCTCCCTGGCCCTGGGAAGATGACGGAGGCCCCAACCTTGCCGATGGTGCCGAGACGGCGGCGCACCGCGTCTGGCCCACCCTGGATGATGTCCCCGTAGGACTCCACCAGCGCCGCCACCTCCTCGCGCGCCGCCCGAATGGTGGCGAGCGGGCCGCCTTCGGCGGCCCCCGCGGCGGGGCCCGCGCTCAGGCCCGCGAGGAGCCCCAGCCCGCAGTCGCGACGCGCCCGGCCCGTGCCGCGCGCGGGCTCCGGCGGGCCGCCGGGCCCGCCCCCCGCCGCCGCCCTCGCGCGAGGGGCCGCCCGGGCCTCCGGGGGCGCCACGAAGGCGGCGCGGCACGCGGCCACCGCGCACGGCAGCCACGCGGCCCGCGCCAGCCGCCCGGCGCAGCGGCGCGCGCGCGCCGGCCGCTGGGGCGCCATGGGCGGGGAGGCGTGAGGCTCGGGCTTCGGGGGACTCGGGGCCGGTCCCGGCGGGGCCAGCCGGGAGAAATCAACGAGGCCCCGCCAGAAAAGTGTGACGCGAGGGCTGCCGCTGCCGGCGCCCCACGAGAAAACGGCACCGTGGAAGCCCCGGGACGCGCTCGTCGAACGGCGTCGGCCAACCCGAGGTCGGGCGTACTCGAGCCTTACGCTCTCCCGACATAGGCCAGGGAAGCCAGCGGCCGTGGCCACCGCCACGCCCGTGCACCGGCAGGGCGGACGTGTTTAAAAAGGTGGCCTGGGCCGAAGCGGCATGGGCCAAAAGCGACTGCTGCTGTCCGTCTGGGATCTGGGAGGCGAGCGAGGTGCAGGCGAGCGGCGGAACAGGAGGATTCCGCACTCTCTTGCCAATGGCGACGCTTCCAGATCGACTCCTGGACTTGATGCGCCCTTCCGTTTGCGCCAGGGAGTCCACGCTTCAACTTTGAGTGTGCAGCTCCAGCGTTTGGCGCAACTGTTACATGCAAGCCGTGTCTGCAGCAGCAATTGCACTATCAGCTTGTTGCACCTCAGAGCACAGTAAGATGTCCCGTTGTCATACGATGTCGCGCACATCTGCAATCAGCACGTGGCGGCATGATACAAGCTGGCAAGAACGCCCTCACATTCTTACCCATTTGCACGTGCACGTCGCCGAACTCACTGATTCCCCAAATGCCATCGCACGCATGCTCAGATGCACCGCCCATGCGCTACCATACCCCCCACAACACACACACACACACACATCGGAAGCGGAGGAGAAAATGAGAACCAGAGATGAGGAGGAGGCGACCAGACACGCGAGCGCAAGTACGCAGACCTTTATTAGATTTCCACCTGGATGCCGTGGCAGGCGCTCCAGAGGAACGCGCCGGTTTCGACGAGATCCAGGGGGGGGTCCATGCTCTCGTGCTCCCCACTTTTGCCTCTGTTGCTAACAACGGCGGCGGCGCACGTGGTTTCTGTTGTGCAGCTGTGCTCTGGAGAAAAAAAAAAACAAAAAAAAAAAAAAAAAAAAAAAAAAAAACGCTTTCTTGCTTAATGACGTTCGCGCGTTCGTCGCCCCTCCAGGCCCTCTACCACGGACTCCCCATGGGCCCCAAGAGAGCCCCAGAATGGACCCAAGAGACTCCCTCCTCCTCAGTCTGCCCCCCTTGTCCCTCGCCGCTCCCCTGCGCAAGAGCCAAGCCAGGCGACGCTGCGGCTCTCTCTCAGCAAGGACCCCCAGAGCCCCTCGACCCCTTCCCCGAGACCAGCTCGTCATCCCGAGCCGCCCCTCTACGACCCCCGGGGGGGCCAAGCAGGTGCCCCCTGGAGGCCGACAGCTGCCAAAAACACGCCGCCCTGCGCGCGCCTGCACATGGACGCGAGGGGGGAGGAGGAGGAGGAGGAGGAGGAGGAGGAGGAGGAGGAGGAGGAGGAGGAAAGGGAGGAGGAGGAGGAGGAGGAGGAGGAGGAGGAGGAGGAGGAGGAGGACCTGGCGTGCCGCTCGCTCCTGCGCGCAGTCGCCCCTTGCTGAGACTCCCCGGGGGGGCGCCGCGGCGCTGCCCGGCGGCCGCGGGGGCGGCGGGAGGGCGCACGCAGCTGCACGCGGGGGGCGCGGGCGCTCAGCGCGGGGGCGGGCAGGAGCCGCCGAAGAGGAGCTCGAGGGCGGCGGGGGCGCCGCCTTCCGCGGCACGGGCGGGCGCCTCCTGCTGTCCCGCCCTGCTCGCCAGAGCTCGGGGCCCCTCGGCTCAGGGGTCTCCTGTCTCCTCGCCCTCCTCTCTCTCTCTCTCTCTCTCTCTCCGCAGCCGCCGAACGCCTCCTCCTCCTCCTCCGCCTGCCCCTCCGAACAGTCGCGGTGCCAGATACTCGGAGCATGAGCGCTGCGGGAGTCAGGAAGGCAAGCAGAAGGCAGCGAACGGCAAGCCAGCCAAGAGAGGACACAAAGACTGTCCCGTGGCAGAAAGACGAGCGACTCGCGACGTAGCGCACGCACGCAAACTGCCTTCGCCGACACGATGCAGCATTCGTTTGAGCACCGTCTGGCAACAACCGAGATGCAGAGATGCATACAGAATTGTCCGTTGTGCTCAAGGGGAGCACGTGGCACAATGTTCAAGGTGCAAGCTGCGACGAGCCATGCAGGACAAATGGTCGCAAGAGACCAACCCACTCTCGTTTCCCCCTTCCGCCGCGATGTCATGCGAGAATGATCGACACTCACGCCGCCAAGATCGAGTGGAAATGACGCTCAGGCAAAAGCGCTCATGCGTGAGAGAGCACGCACACACACAAACACAAACACACACACACACACATACATACATACACACACGCATATTCCTCCCCCGCGGCGTTGCAGCAACGGCCGGC